GGGGGGGGGCGGGGGGCGGTGTGTGGGTTGAGCAAGGGTTTCTTAAAATACTAAAGAGACTTGAAGTTGAATACATGCTGATGGGAGGGAACTGCTAGAGACAGGGAGCCTGAAGGTACAGGAGGGAGAGTGGAGAAGCCGCACAGCAAGGCCCTGAGGAAGGTGACAGGGAACACGGGCAAAGAGGGGGCACAGCACACTTGGCCATGGACAAGGTGGGAACATTTCTACTGTAGTAATAAGAAGAAACAGGGAAAGGATGGGTAAGTTTGCAGGCGAGTGCATAGATATGGTAGAAAAAACTGAGAGAATTCTTAAAGAGTGGCATCTTTTTTTTTTTCCCTAGTGAATTAGATCAAGTGACAGGGTCAGAAATACGGAGACAGTAGAGGTCAGAAATAGCCACGACTGGAAACAGGAGTCTATAGAGATATAAAGACTCAGAGGAAAAGATAATACGGGAAATTTTAGAAGGAAATTTTTCTTTTCTTTTTCTTCTATTATTTTCAAAGAAACCAAAATGGTTTTCAGAAAGAAAAAAAAAAAAAGTCATTTTCTAATTTTTGTAACACTCTTAAAGGTATTCATTCATCTTCCCTCCAGCTGGGCATCCCCCCACCCCCACCCCGGGCAGGAAATCTTGTGGTTAGGTGGTGGCGAGGCTCTGTGGATGGGTCAGGAATGTAGCCCATGCCCCTCAGCTTTATTTACCCAACAAGGACACGTTCCTTGCTGTGCATGGTCACAGCTGTCCGTGAATTGTCTGTAGGAGGGCAGACCCTCCCTCCTGCCAGGCCGCACCAGTCGCCCTCGGAATCCCGGAGGGCGAAAACGTTCCCTTGTGCAGGAAGACCCCTCCTTCCCAGCCTTCTGACCAAAGTGGGAGAGGGGAAGGGGGCGGAGTCTGCCGGGCACTGCAGGGCAGTCTGCCCGGTGCTCCCAGACACCAGGTTGGAAACGGGGGGAAAGGGGGGCCGGGGTGGGGGGCATGCCAGAATAGCAGCAGCATGGCTGGGGCAGCTAGAACGTGCTAGAGACTCTGCTGCTTCTCCAGCTTTCAAGAAGGGGGAGGAGAAAACGCTGCGGGATGGGGGGGGAAGGGGGCCCCTTAGGAAGTTACTTAAGAGCTAACTTTCCTGTCATTTAGCCTGTGTCCTTTGGAGCGAGTACTCCAGAGACGCCGAGAGCCAGCCTGCGCTGGGACACCTCGGGAGGGGACCGCAGGTAAGCAGCCGCCCCTTCTGCCCCGGGCATCCCGCAGCCCTGCGTCCACCTCCTGCCCCTGGGTTTCCGGGCCGATCCGTCAGTTGGTACCCGGAGTGCAGGGGAGCGGGTATCGGATGCAGCCCCAGCGGTCCAGTTCCGTTTCGCCCCTTACTCCGCCGCATCTACCCAGCCCCACTTCCGAGCGGGCCTTCTCTCAGGCATCCCGCGAAGCTTCCCTAAAGGCGCTGCTGCCTGAAAAGGGCCGCCAAGGGGCACCTGGGGTGCTCCCCCAAAGGGAGCGGACTATGGAGAGAGGATGCAGAGGTTGCAGAGGGGGGCAGGCAGGGCCGGGTAAGAACACCTGCTTGGCTGGCACTGCGAGTGGTCCAGCTCCGCTCTCCATCGCTGGCACCCCATCCCCCCAGCCGCAGGCAGCCGAACTGGAGCACCTGGCCCAGCCCAGACCTGACAAGGAGGCGGCGCTTCTGCCCACCTGCGCTCACCCAGCCTGGCCTGCACCCGGGGAGCACCTGGGGCGCCCCAGTCTCTGCTTTAATGGTTCTCTCTCCCAACGGGCTACCGCACTGCTCTGCACTGCTCTGTCCAAACATTCCCCTCCGCTAGCAACCCTGCAGCCCACCCCAGCCATTCCCCACCAGAGGAAGCCGTTTTCCTGCCTTCTCTCTATCATTAACCCTTCTCTCTCCCGTCCCCACACCCCTTAACCCGCTAGAGCCTGTAAATCTGACCGCAGGTATTTCTGGATACCCACCCAGACTTTACACTTCCAAACGCTACTGTCTGCTTCCAAGCCCCAGTGCCTGAGGGAGTGGCTCCAGCTGTGCTGCCTTTTTGCTCCGCACATTTCTGGGACGGTCTACTCCCCTCACCTCTGTAAGGGCTATTTCTCATCTTCTGAGGGTGCGGAAAACAGCCGAATAAGCAGAGTCGTGACTGGTTAATCCAGGTGATCAAGAGGAAAGCTTCACTGGGGCCAGAAACAAGGTCTCCCTTCATTTGGACTGTTGGTCAACAAGACCCCGACAGGAGGTGTGGTGATTAAACTTGTTGTTTGTCCACACAAACTCCAAAGGAAGGGGAAGCAGGCTTGGAGCAAGGGCAGTGTTAGCTGACCCGGTAAGTTTAGGGAGCGGGCTATTTATAGCCCTATTTAATAGTGCAGTGGCCTCTGCCTCACCTACCCCAAATCTCCCCTCCCTTGTCCCGCGTCCTGTGGTCCTGACTCCAAAGCAGCGACCACCTTCTCACACCCTACCGAGTGACTTCACTTAAGAATCTTGTTGGGCTCATCTGTACCCGCCCTAGACTGGAAGCTTTCAAGGCAAGCATCCTTCTGTTTTGCTCTCCGATGTACCCCAAGTGCCCAGAACGCATAGGGATAAATATTGGCTGAATTAACTTGCAGACGTGAATGCTTGAAAGGATGCCACTGATCTGGACATGGGTGTATGAGTTTATTCTTATAGTGACGTCAGCCTCATAAGTCTATATAAAATGGGCAGAGGTACATGCGTAGGATAGCAAACGTTTCTTTCAAGAGATTGCCTTTAGGGGGAATGAGAAAAAGACCCTGCTTTCCAAAATCTTTTACATTTTTCATTTCTTCAAATAAGCCCTCTTTCTTCTGCTTTCCATATGTTTTGACAAACACGAAATCTCCCCGAGATCCTTGGGGAACTGTACTCCATCATTAGACTCATCTTTCCTGCCACATCTCAGGGTTCATTTATGCGAAACTCAAAATGTGTTGGTCTAGAGCCATCACAGACAGATATGTCTCCCTGTTTTTGAGTCCTTATGCAACCGGCTTCACTTTCCTTTCCATGCCTCCTTTTCTCCCCCCAAGGAGCCTGTGAGGCTGAGAATGTCGGAGTCCTCGGGGGCCACCTTTGGAGGCAGGAGAGCCATCCCCCCCAACACCTCCAACGCATCAGAGAATGATCCCCCCACCATGGAACTTCAGGGCCTGGTGCCCCGGAGCTTCAACATGCAAGGTACAGTCACCTCCTGGGCCGCCACGGCCGGCCGGCCCCGCGGGTGCTGGCTCAGCACCCTCTGATCCACCGAGCTCCCACAAAAACTGGTCCCCTGCCAGTCTCTGGTTTTAAAGAAAGGCCTCCCAGACCCTCTTTTGAGTGGTAAAAGCACCAAAGGCCAGGATTCTTGTCCCAGTTCTGCCACTTACTGGCTTTGTAATCTCAAGGAAGTCACCTCTGCAAAACAAGGGCATTAGCTGAGTCCTCTTCCAGCCCTACTGTTTTGTTTTTAAGAATGTTCTCTAGCTGGAAGTTTCCACTTCCAAAACACTGTGGCTTTTGTGATTGTCTAGCTCACACCTCCTTCCTGCCCCGTCCCCGCATCCATCGCTGTGAATCTCAGAGCTGGTGAGAGATGCTGGACCCTGACGGTAATGGAGATGGAAGCCGTCTGCTTCTCTCCAGAGCAGGCTGGGGGGCAGGCGAGGCGAGCTACTTACCCTGCTCTTGCCTCCACCCATCTGGAGGGACCTGCTCTGGGAGCAGCCGCCAGCCGCTGACCTCCACTCAGCCCTGTCAGCTGTGACAGCTCTCAGTTACCAGCAGTGGCTCGGTGACACAGGCACCGTTCCCTTGGGCCATGGCAGGGACATTCAGACTCACGTCCCTGAATGGCATCCAGCGGGGAGCACATTTTGTCAGTTGCACACATGTACCCAAACCCACTTTTGCTCCTGAGGTGCTCTGTGTATGCTTTCACTGGGGGGTAAACACCCACTTGTAGGGGTAAGTGCCCACGATCACCCTGTGGTGTGTGGTTAATCTGCCTTGTCCGAAAGAGACCAGAGGTTGAAAGCAAAGGGAAAGGGCAATGTTGATTACGAACAAACCCAGAAAGTCAGAGAACAGCCTGGGTCTGGTGGGCAAGTTTGACTGTGTTAGTATCATGTCTGGACAGTGTGATATCCAATTGTGAAGACAGAGAGATATCCAGTACCACCCGTGGGGTACCATCCAAACTGGGAGCAGGGGGCTCACGGAACTGAAGGGCATCTTCGGTTGAGTCGAGGGGCCAAGACAAGATGTGAACTTGGAGTTCTGAGCTCTGTCCCTACTAGCTGCTGCACTTTCTAAGACGCCACCATTAGAACCACAGAAACGAGTTTTAAAGGACTTGCTAGTCAACTCATCTAAATCCCCATGTTATAGGTTGGGAAATGGAAACCAAAGTAAGCACTTGGTGTTCACTCCTTCACTTCTCAGTCTAGGAGTCTTCCTTCCTTCCTTCCTTCCTTCCTTCCTTCCTTCTTTTTAAATGCAAATAAAATTGGAAAGTGTACAGATGTCAAATTACCAAGCAAGTTATCTTGGTGTATTCAGTTTTCTAGCAAAATTCCACTCTGGCAGAGAAGACTCTGGGACCCAGGAGAGGGGGGCAAAGTGCTGGAAGAAGTGGTGGGGGGGAGCAGAAAGAGAAGAGGGCACAGGAGAAATGGGAGGCACCACTGAGGCAGTGAGGTGTAGCAAAGTGTCCCCCGGTCCAGGACTCAAAAGACCCGGGGTCCTGTCCCACATCTGCCACTTGCTCACCCTGGGACCCCCAGAAAGTCATGTAAGTGTTCTGAGCCTCAGTTTCCCCATCAGCAAAATGGGAGCAATACCTACTTCACAGTTGCCGTGAGGATTAAATAACCAGTGGCTGTGAGAATACCCAATCAATACATGCTCATTGATTCAGAATGTGCAGATTATCATACCTCTGCAAGGTCAGGAACCCACCCAAGGGAACCTTGATTCTAAGGGGAATATGTGCAGCCTGCAGCACCCATAGAATTAAAATGGACCAAAATGTTGCCAGTAAGAAAACTGCTAAAGAACTTGAGCAGGTAGGTCAATTTTTAAAAATCTGGGAATACTGGGTTTTTGGTTGCTTATTTTTGGAGGCAGAGGTGGGGAGTTAGTTTGAACTGAATTATTTTGAAAGATCAGTCATTATTTGCTTGGCAGTCGTATGTGTCCACAATCCAAGTGACATTCTGGGGTACTTAATACAGGCCCTGGCATAGGAGTGTGTGTCCAGTGAAAAATCACTCCCTTGAGAAATTAATGACTCATCAGCCCTAGAGTCATTGTAACCTTATTATTATTAACAGGTTCCAGGTTTCATAAACATGCATGCATTTCGTAGTTCTCATACAGACGAGCTAAGTGCTACATGCTCTGAAGTTAGGACCTCTGAATCCAGGAAGTATAGCAGTAAGTCCCAGATGAGTAGAACAGAAGAAAAAGAACACTGTCTTGATCAAGGAGGTCCATTTCCCAGTTATCCTTCACATTTCAAATCTCTGTTTAATTGTACGAAAAGTGGGTGTCCTGGGACTAAGTCTGTCAAGTTGTCCCCAAGTCCCTAAGACCTAATCACGTGGGTTTAAGTGCCATCTTCTTGCAGTTTCCTCAGTGGCCACTAGTGGAGGGCTTGTACCTTCGTGATCTTGTCTGAGGATGACTGCTTCCAGGATAACAAAGCCCTAAGACAAACTCTCCACATTTGTTACATGGAAGCGTCCCCTTAGCATGCTACTCCTGTGAAATTGACTGAGAAGGGCAGAGAGGCAAGAGAGGGAAAATGCCAGATTTTTCCCTTTGAAAGTCTTGTGGCAATCGATGTATATAATACATATTGAGTGTGTGTAATACCTCTAATTCACAACTTCAGTGAATATTTGGTTAAGAATTATTTTTGCCTGTGTTTCAAAATGTACAAACGTACATAAGGTTCCTCCCATGTGGCAGCATGATATTTAAGAAACATTGAGATATTTGAGGTGACAGTGGAACCCTGGAGATGGGACCAGCCAGTCCATGGAGGTGTTTGATGTCCTCCTGTGTTTTTAGGGATCCTTAATGCCCCCTTTGAACTCAATTGTAGCCGAGAAAAATATCTGAAAATCCCCTCAGATTGTTTGGATTTGCATCCATTTCTAATGTTTTGCATGCTCATTTGGTGTTTCTGAAAATCTCTCTAGAGGCTTCCTGGTCTCGAAGGTTATTTTAGCAGGAGATGTTCCGGAAGATAACCTTATATTCTTGGGCTAGTTTGACTCTGTGTTATTAACAGGAGGTGATCAATTTGCAGTAGTAATTATAATACTCATTTGGCAGGTCTAATGCAATTTGAATTCAAACTGGAAAGCAAGCTAGAGCGATAAAAAAAAAAATCAAATGCAAGTGGGATCTAGTATTTTTCAGGGTAATGGGGTCTGTGCCTTTCTGATCGCCTCCTCCCTCCCATGATTCCACGTCAGAATGAAATCAACTGACTAGTTAGTCATCCATCTCGCCTTTGTGCAGAGTAAACCTCTCTGGATTCGAGGTTATTGAAAGAATAAAAAAGGCCTTCAATGCATGATTAAGAAACAATGTTGTATAGACCAGTTCACACTTTCCACTTGATTTGTGGGAAAATGTTTAATGATTGTGTCGGGAACGATACCAATCTCTCTCTGGGGACACAAAAATGAACAAGTCAATACCTGGCCTCAAGCAACTGTCCACCTAGTAGATGAAACAAACAAAGAAAAGGAATGACCAGTGGTGTCGGTGGAGTGGGAAAGAAGGCGAGGAAGGTTTCGTAAATACAGGACACCTGAGGTAGGTCTTAGATGATGGGTAGGAATGCTCCAGGCACACAAGTGCCTGGAAGGGCATTTCTGGCAGAGAGCACAGTGTATGTCAAGTAGTGAGGACAAGAGAGGGGAGATGAGCCTGAGAAAAGTAAGCAGGGATCACATCATAACAGGCCTTGAAGACCTTACCTTTCCTCCTGCAGTTACAGGGGACTTGCAAAGGATTCTAAATAGCAAATGACATAATCAGAATTATGTCTATAAAAATAATGATAATAATGAGGAGAAAATGGAGAGAAGGAGTCACATTTGGAGGCTGTTGAGATTCTTCAGGCTAGAGGAGAAATAGACCAATAGAGAAATAGAAATAGAGAAATAGAGGGATTTTAGTGCCTGGAGAAGGTGTTAGACTCATTTCTCTCATTCTAGCTTCTGCTGAGCATTTCTTATACAGAGTACAGGACATTTTAATAGCAACAGTTGAAAACAATAAGCTGTTTAAGAAAATGTTTTTAATGATTCAAATTAATGATAGTTTAAAATTCTGGGTGTCCAAAAGGAATATGAGAAAGGAAACTTCACCCTGTTGTTTTCACAATAAACAGACCTACCTCCTCATGGACAGTATTTACGCCTATAGTTTGGTAATAATGTTACCAAAGATTGCATGGAGATCTCAGTTCACTAGGGAATTCCTAGGATGTGAACCTAAACATTTAACTTATTTAAAGGTTCCATCTGTGACAGGTATAATCATTCTCTGAAGAATATCTTTACCAGCTAAGGTGAAAATAATCCACTTTTTTCATATTAGGGGAAGGGTAGGAAGGCAGGGAGGCAGCTGGCTCATGAGGAGAGATTTTTTTCTTTAGCAGTCCATTTTCTGATGTTTTAGAATTAAGCTAAATTGCGTTAGGTAGACTTTTGAAAGCTGTCACTTTGAAAGAGCAAGCTGCCAAGTTTCCAACTACAATATCTCAAAACCAAAAAAAAAAGGTAGCTTAGCAATGAGCTGCTCTGTTCTGTTCTGTTCTGCGAGGGACTGGGCTTGGACAGGGAGAAGCAAATTCCTTTCCTGTTTGTGGCGAATGGAGCCTGGGTGATGAGAAGGCTCTTTCAACCTAAACTACGACTTGTTAAGCCAATAAACAAAGCAAAAATCAATATTCCAGCTTAATAAATGTTTACTGAGTGCCTGCTACATGGGAAGGAGCAATGGACAAGAAAAAGAACTATGGTATTTTTATGCCTATGATCATATCTCATGACACCATCTGTATAGAGTCCTTGAGATTATCAGGTATTATAAGAACCAAATACTTGACTTGATCTGTGGGTGACTCTCCATGAACAATGGACGAAAAGGTATTTATTCAGTGGTGTTGGGGACCT